TATATATATATATATATATATATATATATATATATATATATATATAAAACTGCTGTGCTATGGCTGTTGTATGCGAACGAACGAACGAACGAACGTATCTACTCATAGCAGCGATTTCGAGCATTATTTGCGCTACATGCCATTCCGTGCCGAGACACGCTTCGCCCGTTTCGTTCGCCCATTTGCTCTGTACTTTCCAACAATTCATTCGTTCGTTCGCTTTGGTGTTCTGTGCCATGGTTGTTTGCTGTGGTGGCTAGCTGGCTGGCTGGCTCCCCTACTTCTGGCTTCGTGCTTTGGATTGTGTTTGCCTGGCGCGTATTGTGGCTTCTACTTTAGATGCTTCCCGCACATAAAATTCAATTCAATTCTAAGCGTTAAAGAAACTTTCTTAATGCTTTGTTGGGTATGCGCACTCAGGAAAAGCTTCTTTGGTTAAATATGCAATGGCAGAAATTTCAATTCATTCTTGCTTTTTGCGATTCCAAAGGGATAGGGACGCGCTTAGATGAGATTAGGAAAACATATGGACGATAATAAACAAGATCAAAGAAAGGAGAAAACATGTCATACGAGTGTTGATCTACAAGAAAAAAAATTACATATGAAAGGGCCCGGTAGAAATGAATATCAACCAACATTGGAGTCTTTACTTTCACAGCGTGGATTTAAAGGATATGAAATGCTTCTCCTTCGAACTATTTCGGATTTTTAAAGATTTGTATCGCAGTTGGACATCACACGAGGTCGAGCACGAGTAATTCCAGCTCCAATGCTTGCTTTATTCGCTAGTTCTACCTTAAAGTTCCTATCGAAGTTAGTGATTCCGCAAATGTCATCTCTTGGGAGTTAGGTCTCTAGGGTAGTTGAGTCATGAGAGACTCCATATTTAAGGATGATATGACTTTTCCTCTTCCAAATGAATGTCCGAGGGTTACAGCCCCAAAATTTCCCTGCAAAGCGTTTGCATACAAACCATTAGTGCTCTTGTGGCTATGGATGTCGTCACATCGACGCACTTCTTCTGTGAGAATTTTACGTCGAGCGTGATGTCCAAAAATCTCACTTAGACCAGCCGACTTCGGTACCATCGAAACCTATAGTTCTTATTCCCGGGAGGGTTCTTCTCTACTATAGTGATCGCTTTTGCCGGATTAATGTTAAGAACTTTATCCACACACTATTGTTTCGTTACCTTTGGTGTCCTCTGGATTATATCACCGAAAGGTTTTTTTTTATCCACCTATGAAGGGTACCTGTGCGCCTGTTTTTTCTAGCGCCTGGCATACCGCTTCATACGAGGTGTTGTCGAAGGTTCCTTCTGCATCGAGGAAGGCACAGAAAACAACTTCCCCGGAGTCAAACGCACTTTGGATTGCTGTAGTTAGCTAATATAGGGCTGTCTCCGTGGATCTTCCGGCCCTGTGCGCGTGTTGGCTACAAAGTAGCGGGCTAACTTTCAGGGTGTTTGAGACCTGATGCGAATAATCAGCATCTTCGACATCTGTTCAGGGAATAAGAATCGAGCAATAGCTTTATGTATTTTCAAAAGAGTGGTCCAACACGACTACGTAAAAAATGGAAAATTTGTCAGCCATCTATTTCTAGACTCCAAAACAGTTGATAGCCGGTAGTTGACATCAAAATCTGGGCAAAAGGACATGCACCTCATTTGCTTACTAACTGAAGTCTTTATGGTGCTATGCATTTAAATTAGTTATGCACCTAGACAGGTCAAACTTAAGTCCATTGTTATGCTCGATATGGTTTGCCTCCTCCGAGTGTCCTTTGTGATCCTTTCTCAGCTGTACAAAAAAAATCTACACTAACCCTCTCTGCATTCAGTTTTCTTTTCTTGCTGACTTTTCCTTTTACTTCTCTTCCCTCGAATTTTCAACGGCTATGTGTCAGCTTTAGCCCGCTATCTTGGTCATTCTTCAAGACAATACGTATGCAGTTGATATCCTTGCTCACCATGTATAATCTTTTTTTTTTGTGATTTTTTCTCAAGCTTTACCAACATTTAATTCGATTTTTATTATATCTTCACGCTCGAAGCATCCAAAAGAAAGTTTTCACAATTCGAAATCATTTCAAGGAGCAAGAAAGGATACCTACTATAAGTATATGTACTTATGTACAACAAATGTACATACATACATATATGTATAAAAATGTAGTCCCACGGTTTTAGAGCTTCAGACAATTTGCGCCCTGCCCTGCTTGCCACATCACAAAGTTTGCTCAGCGCCACAGAAACATAAAAAAAGCGAAAACTCGCCGCAAAAAGTTGCTGGTTTCTTACTGCTGCTGCTGTTTTGGTTCCTGTTGTTGGCATCACCAAGCACCAAGCACCAAGCACCAGAGCTGTTTAAGCATTCCACCATCACGAGTAGCTGCTGGCGGATTGTTGGCTTTAGTTGCGTCATGTGTTTGCATGTGTGTGCGGCGTATGTATGTATGTAAGTATTGAGTGGCGTGAAATGGATGAAATAACAGTTCAGAAGTGTTGCACAAAGTTGGATGGCGTCGGCGGCAACAAAGTTGCTGCTACTACTCCTGCTGCTCTTGCTGTATATTGGTGGGTGGGTAACAGCAGCGCTTGAAAGTTGGCAGGAGGTAGGAGGTATTGTAGATAGCAGCAGGGCGGGCACTCAAATATATAACTTTTTCACTATTTGCCGGCAAATGTTGCCGCAACACGACATCCGCTGCTGGTATGATTTTTTGTATATAATTTTCTTAATCTCTCCACCCTCTTCTCTAATGAATTATGCTTTTCGCTATTCGCTACGCTTGGCTTTCGATGTCGGGGTTTTGCTTTTGGCTCTAGACTTGATTCTGTGCGAATGTTTTCACAAGAGTTCGGTTTATCTTTTTCTCTTATTGTTGGTCTTACACTCGGTTTTTGTTAGATTGCCGCGATTTTTTTTTCGTGCATACATACATATTTACATATACAAGCATGTAGGCGTAAGATATTTTTCACAACTTAATTGTGCTTGTGCTCGCAACTGGAAAAAAAAATAAAATAAAAATAAAAAATAGATAACAATAAAAGTGGTTAGAATAATACAAAAATATTCAGTCAGTATTTCAAAATTGTTCACTAAGCCGGATAATGATTGATATCTTTATACTTTTACATATTGTCAGCTGAGTGGAAGATCGCCCCATCCCCGTTGCCGCTTCGAAAACACCGTATCTCAATATAAATTCAATATATGACGAGATGGGACTGGTACGTTTTTAAGTCTTTTGCTGAGATGAGGATTCTTCAACCCAATTCTGAAAAAGTGCGTTTTTCAACTCCTCAAATTTACAAGGTTTAGTTATAGCGTAACTCCAAAGGTGTTTACCTTTCTAGGGTTGAAAAGGAGAGATTTTCATGAGTGGAAATAATTTCGCATGATCAATTTGAGAAAAAGTTAGCTTTTCACCTGCTGTTGTGAACGTGAAAATCATGCCTTATAAAGGATTTTGCAATGACGGCGGCCAGAGGGAGGAAGGTATCAACGAAAATCTTTGTTTTTTTTTTTATTTGAAATGCCCCCGAATGCCACTATGCAATAAATAATATCGCTGTAAGTTTCTGCCCCGGCTCGTTATGGTAGTACGGAACTCGCCAAAATAGATGTGGCTGAATTTGA